TTCATAGCCCTTGAATCTTTATTCATGTTTTATTTATTTTTATTTGATTTGATTATTTATTAGTTCAGTCTTCCATTTCATTGGAAGTACACTTTGTAAGAAGATGAATATGTGTTGGTGTAGAAGTTATTAGTAAACAAATTAGCTATTACTAAAGTAAACATGAATTTGGATTATATTTTTCCTGTGGTGGAAAAATATAACTATTATTTTATATATTTTCATACCATCATTTAGCAGGATAAAATAATCCATACCTAAGCAGTGGCCTGTCGATAACAACTGTTGCGTGACATACTCTAGCAGATGTAGAAGGGAAGCCTTGGAACTATGAACTAATTTGCCCACTTTTCTCTTAATCTGTCTAAGTCCTCTTTTCTTTGGTATCCCTCTCTTTCCATTTCTTCTCTCCCCTTTTNCCCCCAAAAAAAAAAAAAAAAAAAAAACTTTACCTGCCTTACAATGCTGCTGTCTGCATGTGAACTCCACTCACATTGGCACCCTTAGTTTGGTGTACTTTTAGTTCATCCAATACCCTCTTAATATCCAGCTGTTCACAGCAGTTCCCAGGCGTCTCTCATTCCCGCATCCAACTGCAGGGAGAGGATAATTTGAACAAGCCCAGTGTTTGAGGGCTAAACTTTGTGTGTTTTTGCTTTGGTTTGATGGAGAAAGCACATGAGCAGTTGTTACAAGGCCACACATATTTATGTCATGAACTTTGTGTATATTGCAAGTTTGCATGACCATCAGATTCATTGCCATGAGAATACACAAAATATTTCCATAATGCATATTTTCTATGACATGTATTATGTATTCACCAGTCATGTACATTACACTTGTTTATTTTTGGTTTGACACGTTTGGTTTTGATTTCTCTTCACTTGACTTTTGACACATGCCTTTGTCACCCTCACTTGGGACTCTTCATCAGAAGATTGCGTCATCCTTGCAGAACAATTAATAACCACGTTTGGTTATCTATCTTTCTATTGCAGGCAAAACAAACAGAAGGAAGAAGCATCAGCCATGAATGACCTTCTAGATATTAACTTCAACCCTCACAGTGGTGGTAATGCTGGCATGGCGCGCTCGACAGCCACTCCCCCAGTACCTTCATCCCTGGACCCCTGGGGAATGCCTACCTCAGGAGCTTCTATATCTCCACAACATACATCCCAGCCGAAGGTAAGACAAGTTCGACGAAGAGGGGAAACTGTAGTTATCTTTCTGTTTCTCTCAATTATTTTTTCTTTCCTTCCTTTTCTCTTTCCCCCCTCCTTGTTCTCACTTGTTATTATTATTATTTTTCTTCTTCAGATTCTCTCTTTCTTTCTCTTTTCCTTAATCACCCCCCCTCCCTCCTTGTCCACTCTCTCTTTCTCTCTCTGTGTCTTTCTCTCTCTGTGTCTTTCTCTCTCTGTGTCTTTCTCTCTCTGTGTCTTTCTCTCTCTGTGTCTTTCTCTC